TGTGTGTGTGTGTGTGTGTGTGTGTGTGTGTGTGTGTGTGTGTGTGTGAGGTTGACATTATTTTTCGGGGTTTTTTCGCATGTTGATTTGGGAACGTATTCATGCTGTAAATTGTACTAACATTTGTTTAACAAGTCGAATGCATGTGAAACCTGATTAACCAACGAGGCAGTAAGGAGAGCTTCTCGTCAGAACAGTTGCCATGAAAATATCTGTAGAAAAGACAGAAGGGAGCCATGCCAGGCCGCTGAGAAAGTGACTGATGTCGAGATGGCAGATTGGGATCTATTGAATTGATAGATGGCAGATACACTAAAAGATACTCGTTAGTCATATGAAACATGTTTATGATAAAATTATATTCCAATGATGTTTTGATTCTAATACAAAAAGGAAACAATAATATTAAAAGTATTTCTTTAACACTTCATTGGAAAAAATTAAAGAAATTAAAAAAAAAAGTAGGGCGATGTTTGAATGTAAAAATATACGTTACCTTTTGCAGTTTCAATGATAGCATCAAGGGAAGATTTAACCCAATCCATATTAGAAGAAAATTCTTCCCGAATCAGCAAACCCTCAATCCGAATTTTGTAACTATAAATAAATAAATAAATAATATTAATAATAACTAGGTTTACCTATTTTAATTTTCTGAAATATCAGAATTCAGTTAATGATGAAATGGTGAGTTCTATGATAATAAAATATCTGTTTTTCTATTTCACTGAAATAGGCATGAAACCTTCCTTTCTTTCTTTCTTTCTTTCTTTCTTTCTTTCTTTCTTTCTTTCTTCTCTTTCTTTCTTTCATACGTATATCTTGTTTTTCGACGTAAACAAAACAGATCATCCATTTGGAAACCTGTTTACATTTCCTCAAGGATACATGGTACAGTGGATAAAGGTGTTGGTTAGATCCAGTGACAGGACCCAAAGAGTGTGAGTTCAATCCCCGGTTTAGGCAGTGGAGAACTTTCCGAGGGGAATTAAAAGGAGATAGCTGATAACTGACATCCATTAAACAGGGCACGTGGAAGTAGAACAGTCTACCCCAGTGAGTGAAATAAAGAGTTCAGTTCGACATTCCAACCACCTGAAAAAGGCCGGAGTGTACGATAGCTGAAACGTTGTAATAAATATGGCGGCAAAGATGAAGACAATAGCCCAAATATTGTAAACAGTGTTCATTTGGAGATATTAAACATTTTTATCTTCCCTTATTTCTTTAATTTCTTTTTAGTTAAAATCCTCGTCTTCAAACATTCCTCTTAACAATTAAAATAATTCAGTAAACGATATGATTTTTATTTATGGTACCTGCTTCCTTTCCTTGTTTGTTTTTGATTCTATGCTCCTGAAAAATGTTACTTTTATCAGTCGCCATCGCTTCTCGGCCTTTTTGTCTAGGGAAGATTCAAATAATTTTAAGCCCTAGCCCCGGGCAGTACCTCTCTTTCAAGAGAGGTACTGCCCGGGGATGGGTTTATTGCCCGATGCCTGTGGCGTGCTCAAAATGGAAATGTTAAAGGGGCGGGGGGCTTGTGCAATTTTTTCAAGGTATTCTCGTTAAATCCACTTTAAATCTCGATCTTTTGTCCCATACGGGGGTGGGGGGCGCACTGAAAAATACAGTGTAGTATCTGTTCTTATCAGCTTACTTATATTATCTATCTCCCCTTCTTTCTTTAATTTTCTCATTGAAATCAAGTAATGTCTTTTCCTCTATTTTCACGCAATCAAAACGCTGACTAGTCGATTATTTATTAAGTATTGGCAGGGGATAATGGTCACGTGAATTAATGCAGGGAGGGACAAGCACTATCTATCTATCTATCTATCTATCTATCTATCTATCTATCTATCTCAGTCTGCTTAACATCTATCTATATCTATCTATAGACTGTTCATTATCTATCTATCTATCTATCTATCTATCTATCTATCTATCTATCTATCTATCTATCTCAGTCTGTTTAACATCTATCTATATCTATCTATAGACTGTTCATTATCTATCTATCTATCTATCTATCTATCTATCTATCTATCTATCTATCTATCTATCTATCTATCTCCTGCTTCTCATACGCAAATGTTTGAGCGAGGCCGACTTAAACGTCGGGATCAACTGTAAGTATTAAAGAAAGTTGGCAGCATGGTGTTGCTCCCAATGATAACTTTACCTGTTGTTGTGACTTTGCGCACGCAGTAAAGTAGGCCTTGTTGTCTACACGCGAAAATATGTGACTTCGATCAAAATGGCTCAACTATGTGTTTCATCTGTCTAAAAATTTTCAGAACACCTGCATGCATCGGGAGCCACATATGTCTCCATAGCAGTTGAACACCTCTTTATTTTAATGAGTCCTCATTTGTCGTTTGCATTTACAATGAAATAAACACTCAAATGCACAAACATATATGGAATTAGTCGCGCAATTATTTACAGATACAGGGCGCGATAGGTAAATTGTCGCCATTTTATATTTTTAGTTTCGTGCATGCGCGTTGGTTGTTTTTGATTTTGTCGACTGCACATTATATTGGGGCAGTTAGACACTGTCTGTGAAAAAAAAGAGCACCATGATGCAATTTATTCCGCGAGAAATTTGGAAAAGGCATGCTGTACTACTTCACGCCGGAAACTCCAGGACGACCATTTCAGATTGTTTGGCTGTCAATTTGAGGACAGTACAGAGGATTCGGAAAGAGTTGGATGAGTCTAATGGTGATCACGAAAGAAACGGCAGCCTGGAAAACTCATTCTGATCGTTCTGGTAAAAAAAAAAAAAAAAAAATCTCCCAATTTGTTGGTGAGCGCCTTAAACTCAACACGGAGGCCTATATCAAGTGCCTTGAGGATGTAGTGCTTTCCTGGGTCAAGATGGCGGCGGCTGAAAGACCCTATATTTGCCAACAAGCAGCAGAATCGAGTCATGGCTGTCAGACAATTTCTGCGACCACATCACCTCTTCCAACTGGCCACCTAACTCCCCAGACCGCACTCTCTTTGAATATTAAGTGTGAGGTTCATTTGCGCAAGAGATCAACAAAACCTCTTTGTAACACCAAAGATGAACTGAACGCAGAATTATGACAGTTTTCACCAACTTAAACAAGAGACTGTCCAGTTGCAGAAGTTTCCGAAGCTAACTGGAGTCCTTGGTTGAAGACAGTGGCGATTTTATTGAATAAATTTACTCTTTTTAGTATTTCAAGATATTTTTGTGTAATTTTGATAAATATATCTGCTAAAATGAAATGTCAAAGTTATATTCATTTTTGCGTAATTTCTGTGACAATTTACCCATCGCACATTCTATCTATCTATCTATCTATCTATCTATCTATCTATCTATCTATGTATACACACACATACACATATATAATATATATATATAATTTATTCGATAATTCTAACATAAATATGTTATAAAATCAATACAAAAATAGCCATTTTTGCAGAGATTTTATAATATATTTATGTTAGAATTTTTAAATAAATTATATTTGCTCTATTCTGTATTGAGCACTCTTTTAAGAATAGTATTTTTTTTAATGGAATTTATTCTGTATACGCCAATCTGATACTTGTATATATATATATATATATATATATATATATATATATATATATATATATATATATATATATTTATTTATATATATATAATCTGGACACAGAAATCAACGTTGGATGTTGATTGTCAATTTCACGCATCTATCAATCTTCAGACCAAAGATCGCTTAAGGTGTTAAACTGATAGACATAATGCATCATTGATTTTTATGTTTATATATCATACTGTTTCTATCTACAGAAGATTTATTCTCAATACTGAACCCATTACTCCTATAAATATAGCAATTTTGAAGCAATATATATATATATATATATATATATATATATATATAAATCCATTACATTCAAATTTCAGTCGGATCCATTACATTACGTGCTGATACCCTTGGGAAAGGTATGAATTATGAATCCTCTTGCTATGGGTAAAATAGCACGAAAGACTGGGTTCATGAAGGTTGGATGGCAACTGGTCTAGGAGAAGGACAACTCTGAATTCAAAACCTGCGGAGGGTCATTTGGGGACCTTGTGGCACATAGTGCACCAGGTCTCTGTATTTGGACCTTCAAAAAGTGTGGATGGTTCTGCACAAAGCTTTCATCACTATAATCAAATTATAGGTGCTTGTGTCTTGACTGTCGGTTCTTAGGTTCTTAGAGTCCAGCATATATATATATATATATATATATATATATATATATATATCAACACCGTCGTTACAGGCCAATCAAGTATTTTGCTGAAAATATTCGTTGTGTTTATCATTAGATTGTTTTCTCATCGTGTCGATGACATCATTCAATGTATTTTTCAATTTTATGTGATCCCGTGATTAATGAAGCCAACCAACATGCTTTGAAGCTGCTTTCCACAAAAAAAAAATTCCAAACAGATAATGGTGTCTCAACAGATGCTAGAAATGTCAGAAGAATAGATCTTTTCAGAAGCCTGGGAACATCTATCTCATTTGAACCGTTTACGTTCAATCGTGTGATTTCTTGAAGTTAATTCCATGTAATAGTAGTACGTGGGAAACAGGCCAAAACTCAATGTGTTGCCTTGGAGTTAGGTGAGTAAAAATGTATCAGGTAAGTCGTCGGTTCGAGGTAGTGCTTAGCTGAATACTATTGGACAGTGACAAAATCTTTAGACTGTTGAAGGTCATTATTGATTTTCATGTGAATTTGTTTTGGCAAAAGAGGATATATATGGAATTATTTCAAAGCGTTTTGTAAACACAATTTCTATTACCTAATAATATTTTTTTAATTTGTTTATGAAAAATTACAAAATTTTATATAAAAATATTTCTTTGCGAATAAAGCAATTCTCTGTCAGATAGATTCTAGCACGATACGTGAACCAACTTTTCTTAACAGCAGACCTAACAATTTATTCAATATAGTCTTTGTGTTTATGTTAGTCACTTTGTTGTGTGGATTCCACAGACATTAATTGAAAACAAACCTACTAACCGCAAACCTTCTATGTAATCAACTGTTTACATAGGCTTAAAAAATTCCGTTTTATAAACAAAGTGGAACGCAAGTGATTAAAGTATAGAATAACATTAATCAAAGAGTGTTCTTCATCCAACTACAAAAGTGATGGAACTGAAATTATGTCATCCATTTTGAAGCACTTATGAATGGTTTGCACAAACTACAGGCGAACTATGATGTATGATAAAAAAAGTATTTATTTTTTAACTAAACAAAAAAGAAAGATATCGACTAATAGCAAAATTATTCTCCATAATTTGTGAGCCAAAGGCTTACGAGAGATATTACGGTTATTTAAACTATTTATATTCGGACTATTGTGCTCATCTTTGTTGTTGTTATCACAACGTTTCGGCAGGTGTGTATCGATCTGGGTAACCTATAGGGAATTTTACAATGAGCCCTTTATTTGATTCACGTAGATAAAATAAAGGGTTCCGTTCAGAATTCCTTGTAGGTTATCAAGATCGATATAAGTAGTGTAAATAACTCCTCATCTCAGAAATTTAGAGAGAAAATATAACTATTATTACTAATTCTTATTTTGATTTATTATTATGTCAATTATTTTATTATTATGTCAATTATTTTATTATTATGTCAATTATTTTATCTACAAACTACCCCAAATCTACCCAGTCTGTCGATCTACGGCTGTGAGTTTGCACCAGCGAAAGGAAGTGAAAGAATACGCATTCAGTGAGGTTCAGTCTCACATCCTTTTTACTTCAAGGAGGTTCGGTGAAAGTCTTGTTTTATCATTTACGCTACAAGGACTTGAGATGATCAAATCAAACCTATAACTCACCACACCAATTCTATGATCTTTTCTGTTCTTATAAGTTAGTATTAATAGTAGCAGTACTACAGTTATCATTAAGACATTACGAAAGTTTATTATATTTCTGCAATTAGGAAAATTGTAAGAGCTGGTTTTTTTAAGAAAAGATGTTTATGAAAATTACTTACTCAGGTAGTTCCATTAGTTGTAAGAAAAACTTTTCAGCATTTCCGAGTTTAGTCTTGTCGCCGTCGAAATTTTTAAGCATCTCAATCTAAATGAGAAACAAACATTAAATATCAGTTAACTATTATCAATATTAAATCAGTTATCATCTATAAATAAATATAAAACGGACAATTAATTAAACAAATTATCAATCGATATTTTCAACCGGTAATTAATGGATTAATTTGTTCCTCATTAAGTAAAGTTCTCAAATTAAAAAATTTGACATACCAAAACCAAACAACTAAAAAAATAACATTTGGAAAGTGTTTTAATACATGAATGGAAAATGTGGTATCAAAACGCAAAGGTGCATTGGAATAGCGAAAGTTGACTTCCAAAAGTTAAGAAAAGTATTAAGAAATAAGAAAATTTCGTTAGAAACAAAGAAGATCAGTTCTCCTATATGGCAATGAATGCTGGACAATGAAGATGAGACTTGAAGCAAGAGAAACAAAGAAAAGAGTACTGAACTGTTATGTAATATTAGTCCTCCTATATGTCAGTGAATGCTGGACAATCTCCTCACAGATGAAGAAGAGATTTGAAGCAAGAGAAACAAAGAAAAGTGTACTGAACTGTTATGTAATATCAGTCCTCCTATATAGCAGAGAATGCTGGACAATCTCCTAACAGATGAAGAAGAGACTTGAAGCAACAGAAACAAAGAAAAGTGTACTGAACTGTTATGTAATATCAGTCCTCCTATATGGCAGTGAATGCTGGACAATCTCCTCACAGATGATGAAGAGACTTGAAGCAAGAGAAACGAAGAAAAGAGTACTGAACTGTTATATGGCAGTGAATGTTCATAGTCTGTTCATATCTATGTATGTATGTATGTACGTATCTATCTATCTATCTATCTATCTATCTATCTATCTATTACAAACAAATATTATTGAATCCATAGATCAAGGTTACTATCTTGATTTTGCTTACTCAAATGTTCATCCGTTCATTTGATATTCACAATATTACAGTTTTGCCAATATGATTGCTTTAATTTACTTCCGCGTAAGAAGAAAACATTTTATTCTTATTTTCTTACCGATCACTGCACCTCTTCCATTTTTACAATTCTTCTTCTTATTATTATTCTCACATCACATGGACACGTCCCTTCTAAGTTACACAGCAACAAAACACCTGTACAAACACTAAGTTGTACATTCCCTTCAAAAAACACACCAACCACACAAGTAACAATGTTTAATACCTCCCACACAGAGCACTCGCATATTGCAAACTCTTCTTCTTCTTCTTCTTCTTCTTCTTTCTCCTTTTTTCTTCTTCTTCTTTCTACTTTTTCCTTCTTTTTTCTACTTTATTTTTCTTCTTCTTCTTCTTTCTTCTCTTCTTCTTTCTTCTTCTTTTTTCTTCTTCTTTCTTCTTCTTCTTTGTGACCTGTTCTTTCTTGACGTAGGCGGTCAAGGCTTTCTATAAATTGCTATTCTTCATAGCTCTTAGTAATGTTTGTCTTTTTACTTTGCCTCCTAATTCCTTGTTCGGTGAGTTATTCGATGTTTATCCGCTATACTCCTTGCCTTCGACATGTCTTGTGAATGTCTTCAATTTTCAAGTTTGCCAAACCCTCTTTCCTCATTATGTATCCTAGAAATGTCAGCTTCTCTTTTTCTGAAATAATAGGACAGACTGGGTTTTATAGCCTCGGATGGCAACTGGTATAGGAGAAAGAAAAACTCTGAATTCAAAACTTTATGTAGCGAAGTACATACAATTCAGTTAAGAAAATAATCATTCATATTGACACCATGATCCCGACTACAGTTGAGATTTTTGTTTTATTGATTAAAATATTTTATAACTTAATAATTTTCATAAAATATTGATTGAACTATCGTTCGTCTTTTCTATTAGAAAAATCATAAAAATTCAAATACACCCATATATGATAATATTTGATATATTTTTCTTCTAAATGCCGTATCCCTTGTGTGTGATCGATCATGGCCCTCTACATCTTCTTATCTCTTGTAGCTCTTAGTATTATTTATCTTTTTACCATAACTTCCCATTATGACATCCATTCATTCATCAGCTAAGTGACACCCTGCATTTTTGCCTTCAGTATGTCTTGTAATTGTCAAGATTTATAAGCTTGATTACCCATCCCAAAAATTTCAATTGTATCAGTGTCCCTTTTGTCTCCATTTACTTTAGACTTCCTCATTGTTTACATGCTTTGTCTATGGCATTCTTCATCGTAGTATAATAGTCAAAATACTTCTAGATAGTGAATTTAGTACTCACTGGGTGAGCCATACTTTTGTCTTGTTGTTAAATAGCAGGACACCTTGTCATTGAGTAACAGTCATATTTAAAACTAAGCAACGCTTTATAAACAACTCGTGAATGGTTAACGAGCTAGTTTGGTTGATTAGTACTATTGAGTATTGGGTTCGAGAGAGTGAATGAGTGAGAGAGACAGAGAGAATATACAGTTTTCAATTCACTTTTTTTTTTTGTCTATGTATTCCGAAGAGTGGTGTGTGTGTGTGTGTGTGTGTCCTATTAACTTATTCACTCTCTCTGTCCCTGATATGGTTTAAATGGTAGGATCCGTATCTGGAAAATCGCTGTTATTTATTCTAAAATATTCTTTAATGCACTCACAAAAAATAAAATAAAGAATTATTCTTGCAATCCAAAAAATATCTTTCGGCTTTAAATAGCCTAAAAGGGTTGGCAAACCGTAAGTAAACAAACAAAACAATACCTTGCGCGCGTGTATACAAGCATAAGAAAATACAGATAAAGACCTAATTTAAAGCTGCTGTCTTTCACGTACACACATGAACAGATAATGTTTATGTGATCACAGTAGTTCTTTGAAGTAGCGTTTTTAATTTTATTCGTATTAACTGCATGTTTCAGCCGATACATTCTTCAACCTTCATCAAGTGTATGTTTCCTCTGGTGTTTATTGATTGATTTGTTTTTACGGTTTATCAACCCCTTTTTTTCTGTTATTTAAAGCTGAAACATATTTTGAATTGTAACAACAATTTCTTTTTTTTTTTTAAATAAGTATTGGATTAACAATTCTTTTGAGTGTAACAATGATTTTTTCCTGATACAAGTCCTACTATTTTACCCATAGCTGGGGGAAGAGATGAATTCATACCTTTCCTATGAGTATTTGCGCGTAAGTGAATGTAATGAGCACACGTAGTATTCAAAGTCGTCTCTCCGATTTCCACGCCCCAGAGCTGCGAGCTATTACAATATTCTGTCATTCACTATGTCTAGTGATTTTCAGAATTAGTTTAATGACTTCATTGCTTTTTTTATTAGTTAGAACATATCAATCCCATAGAATCACTTAAAAAAGCGTAGGTTCCTTTGTTAGTAAATACAAAAGAAGTGAAACATTTGTAGCTTCAACAGTTGATGAGATTCAGTGTTATGAAATTTTCAGTTCATACATCAGAGTCTGGGATCAGAATAGTCGGAGGTAAAGAAAATAAGACAAAGGCATGCCTATTCCGGCGAACGGCGGTAAATAAAACGAATAATACCAAAAAGTTCGGTCCGGAGTTGAGAAGCATGAAAAACAGATTCGACCCTACAATAAATGAAACACTTAAAACAGCATCAGAATTACGAGAATTGAAAGTGAATGAACTAAAAATCAAACTGTCGTTGGCTTTGTTGAGGAAACTAGAAAAGTGTTGTAGTCTTTCTGCCAATCAGTTTTGTAGTGATAACCATGATAAACTTTAGTATATGTCTATATTTCTGGGATGAGGTATTATGTACATTATTTATTCAAATGCTGGACGACACTTCGCAGATTTTTATCTCCCGAGTAAGACCCCCCATAGAGGAGATCATGACTAAAGTGTACGCTATCCCATGCAGCTTCTGAAAGAAATATAAAGGGGAGACAGGTCGCCCCCTTAAGGTAAGTCTTCAAGAAAACGAGAAAGCTGTAACATGAGGGGAAGGGAAAAAATCAGGCGTGGCTAATCACATATGGAGAAAAAAAGGGAGATCACCGCCCTCTGTTGGATCAGATTGAAATCATAGCTAGAGAACATCATTGGAAAACTCATAAACTTAAGGAATCAGCACATATGCTGGGCCACAAAAATCTCCTGAGCCGACCAAGCATAGAAATGAATACAATATGGGAACCAGTAATAAGGAGTGCCAGAGAAAAGCGATAATAACAAAAATTGCATTATGAGCTCTGGTAAAAACATGATTTGATAACAGCAAAAGATTGCAATATAAGCACAGCTAAAAAATGGTTGCTGAAGACATAATGTTTATAATACCCAGAAATTCATACCCAGATGTCAGGGTGGATAAAGGCGTTGGTTAGATCCAATGACAGGACCCAAAGAGTGTGAGTTCAATCCCCGGTTAAGGCAGTGGAGAACTTGGAGAGGGGAATTAACAGGAGAGAACTGATATCTGACAACCATTAGACATGGCACATGGAATTAGAACAGTCTACCTCAGTGAGCAAAATAAAGGGTTCAGTTCGACATTCCAACCACCTGAAGAAGGCCGAGACGTTGTAAACAAAGATGAGGATAATAGTCCGAATAATGTAAATACTGATTTGTTTGAATACAGAAATAATAATAATAATAATAATAATAATAACTGAAAATGTTTTTGAATATGGCAAAATTGTTTGTTTAAAGAAAGCTGAAATCATGCAATCACAGAGAGATGGAAAGATATAGAGAGAGGTGGAGAGAGAGAGAGAGAGAGAGAGAGAGAGAGAGAGAGGTGGAAGTAGAGAGAGATATGTAAAGAGAAAGATTGGAAAGAAACTTAAATCATTATGTGCCCGATGACCGATGTACGCGCGATTCACAGACTGTTAGTATTAGATAGATATGAACAGACAAAAATAGATAGATAGATAGATATAGATAGATAGATAGATAGATAGATAGATAGATAGATAGGGAGAAGAAAGAGAAACAAAGAGGAATACAATAGTAGTAGTAGTGATCGTAGTGATGGTAGTGGTGATGATGGTGGTAGTGATGATTGTCGTGATAGTGACTTCTCGCTTATTTTTTAATGATCTTTTATTTATTTATTTATAAGAATTTTTCTTTAAATATCATTAATTGTATTTATGGGTAAAAGATATTCGTGTAATAATAACAAGATTAGGGAGATTTGAATGTAGTTTCATTGAACATGAGAGAGAAAAAGTCAAAGAAAATTCCGTTGAAAATTCAAGTTTTGTGGAAGTCTGGTGAAGCACTTCATGTTTCCTTGGGATCCAAATGCTTAGAAATGAAGATTTTACCGTTGTTGTTGTTCATAAGAGCAATAGTCAAAAAAAAAAAAAAAACAACAAACAAACAAACGATAATGACCCACCATGGTATGGATAGGCTCTGGCGCCCACGAACCAGCCTCCCCCCTCCCGCCCAGTATGGGTAAATACGAACTAACTATAATTAGTGACAAAATGAAAAATATTGTTAAACTGCATCGGTCGTAACGCGGGTCAAAAAGGACCGCGATCCCCCATGAGGAACCAGAATGGGATCGAAAAGTTTGCAAATGGAACAAACGGTAAAAATCTTCATTTATAAGGTCTGTTCATTTTTATTTCCCTGTCAGTCTAAATGGGCATGTCCCAGAGGATAGTTACATCGTTATTTTGGGTAACTGTCCAACGAGAACTAGAGGAAAACCACGCCAAGGACATTCATCAAAGAAACCCTTTATATTCATTAAAAGAAAATCCCACAAAAAAGAACAATAATTAAAACGTTTACGGGAGAGTATATTGAAGTAATGATAGACTTTTTTTTCTACGATAAATATGACAACGTCAACTACGACCAAAGCCGCCTATAATATCTGGCGAGAAAAACACACCCTCAAACAGACTAAACATCGATGACAACAAACTAGCCAATGTCAGGCGTGTGATCATCATACAAAAGATTACCTGACATAGAACTCGAAGGCATCCGAGAAAACATCAAAAATGTATTAAACGTTAACATCAAAGGGCTAAATGCCAACAACCAAGAGGAGACACATGCAGAGGAACAAATAGAAACCAGTTGTAATGATCCCTCTGAGGTACACAAGCAGATAGAAGTATATAATGACGAATGTGATAGCGAAACAGAAATCACACTCACACACACAAACACACGTCCGCACACACACACACACACACACACACACAGATATATATATATATATATCCGAACATCAACATCCCTGTTGTAATTGGAGCCCTAGGATTGATTGGAAAAGATTCCAATAGACTCATTGAAAGGATTTCTTGAAGCCCATGCCTTAAAGAAATACAACAAATTGTTCTCACGTGTACAGCCCACACCTTACAAAGGGCTTTATCGATTTAAAATATTTTTTTAATTGGTCAGTG